TATATATATATATATATATATATATATAAAATTATAGGTGACATTCATTATTATTCAGCTTCAGCTTCAGGTGTACAGTGCAGTGGTCAGGCATCTACACCATCCATGATGTGGTCTCCCTAATAAGACAAGTACCCATCTGATGCCCTACAAAATCTTTACAATATTATTGATTATATTCCCCAAACTGTCTTGTGTATTATTCTTGTATAATACTATATTCTCTGACTACTGAGATAATTCCAATTTAAAAATAAATTTTACCATTTATTCCTATTCCTTTAAATATTTTGATGTTTGGAATAGATAGAATTCCATTACTAACTTTTTATTTATACAGTATCTTTCTTTAAGAAAAATCCACAGATACAACTCAAGTTGCATGCATACATTCCAAGCGAATGGACCAAGTTTTAGAACAATTTGATAAAATGTGTAAGACCTGTCATAATGGTGTTGAGACAAATGTCAGGTCCTGTATTAGCTAAATGAACCTTCATATTAACCGCCACATTACTGTTGGTTCAGAGCTCTGGAGAGTATATACTAATGCCACAGTTTAAGCAGATAAGTAATCTGTTAGAGGAAGAGTATGAAAATATCTGCAAAACCCATAAATATACAGCAAAAACACATTGGAGTGGGTAAGTTAGCTAGCTCTGGACTCAGACTGTCTTACCAACTGTGAGAGCTTGAGCAAATTACTTCGCATTTCTAAGCTTCAGTATCTTCATCTATAAAATGAGGATGATAGTACCAATTCACAAGGTTTTTATAAGAAATAAATTAATTGAAATATTAACCATAAATTGTTTAACATATTGTCTGGCATAAAGTAAGTAGTTGATTAAGGTCAGTATTATTATTGTTTATGTTGTCCTTAATGTTTTATTGAAAAATTAGAAATAAATTTAAAAAACAATTAGTTGTATAGTATATCACATTGTGAAGTTAAAATTAAATGTTGGAAATTTTGAGTATCTGATATTATTGAACATTCAAAATCCACAACATTAAAAAATAGTAGATCATTTTTACCTCTAGTATGTTTTTCATATATTGCTCAAAAATTAAGAACTACTATATATGTATATATGTGTGCGTGTATATATATATGTAGTCATTTATATGTATATATGTATACATATATGTAAATATTGATACAGTGTTGACATTATATCCTCCTAGGGCTACCTATGTCCAAATGAATTTATTGCAACTCAAGGTCCCTTACCAGGAACAGTTGGGGATTTCTGGAGAATGGTTTGGGAAACCAGAACAAAAACATTAGTAATGCTAACACAGTGTTTTGAAAAAGGGCGGGTAAGTTATTTGAAAATCTTTTCACAAAATGTTATTTTACAATTGTGTGAATATATGTGTGACAATTTCAGCTAATACTGTAAGTCATCAATAACTTGGACATCTATAAGGCAGTTTTAACTTTGTGGCAATATCAGTATAACAATCACTTTTATGACTGGTGATTTTCTCTGACTACAGATCAGATGCCATCAGTATTGGCCAGAGGACAACAAACCAGTTACCGTCTTTGGAGATATAGTGATTACAAAGCTAATGGAGGATGTTCAAATAGATTGGACCATCAGGGATCTGAAAATTGAAAGGGTAAAAAATTGTGGGGGCAGGAACATGATAGTAAATATGAATGCTCTAAACATCTAAAGTAAAATTAATTTCTAGAACTATCCCTTGCAACGAAACCTATATATCAACAATGCTTTTCTATTATTTTCTAAACATAAGTTTTGAATTGGTATCTGACTTTAATACTTATGTCACTGTGTTTAAATTCTAAATCACATGGTTAAAGTTTATATGAACCAATCAGCATCAAATTCTTAGATAGACAAGGGAAGAAAAAGGAGGAAATAACTAGATCACTATGTTTATTTTATTTGATAAAGAAAATGTAATATATGACTTAAAACAAGAATTATCCAAATCATTCATCTTTATCTATTGTACATCCTAATAATTTTATTTTATATTTAATCCAGATCCAGTACAGAAGAGAGACTATGGAATCCCATTTTATCAGTTTATATAAGTGCTTATACACATAGAAAATTACATAAGTATCTTTATACTTTCTGACATTATCGGACACTTAATACCTATGTTTTGAATAATTGGTGAAAATGTTTATTTAAGTTTGGGCTCCAAATTGTTTCAAAATCTATTCTAGTGCTATAAAGTGTTATGCTACATGTGACTATAAATACTCTATCTCATCATCTCTTTGCAAACATTTTTATTCTTTCCGTTCATTCTGAAAAGCAATTTTCTTTATTGTAGCAGTAATAGAAGACCTTTCTTACAGGATACATGAAAACACAGTTTCTTCTGTTTGGTAAATAGGAATTTTTAAACAATCACCTTCAAAAGCTAAGACATCAGCTGTCTTCAACCTTAACTGTGGTACTTAAATAACTGTATCAGGCTTCTTTAACCTGTCATCTTGTCTAGCACGGGGATTGCATGACTGTTCGACAGTGTAACTTTACTGCTTGGCCTGAACATGGGGTTCCTGAAAACAGTACCCCCCTAGTTCACTTTGTGAAGTTGGTTCGTGCAAGCAGAGCACATGACACCACACCTATGATTGTTCACTGCAGGTAAGAAAGAGATATTATTAAAACCTTGTATGAAATACTAGGAATGGTTCTAAAACTCAGTGTGGTCTATTATCATGATATCATTGATTATTTTTCTGGCAGTAGTTAATGTGGATTCATTCCAGCTTTCACCTCTCAGATATTTTACTGGCTATAACAAATAAAGATGTAGCTTGATAAAAGCTCAGATGGCAGATAAAATAAGTGATGAATGTGTCTAAAAGCAAATCTATATATACACACACATATAGTAGTACAGGAATTTCCTTGAATTCTTCACTAAATTATGCATCTAAAGGCCTTTAAAAAATTACAAAAGTATAGCCTGTCATTAATGTATGTGTGCAATATTTTATGAATTTTATGAATAAACATCTAATCTTTCATTGCTTCAATTGGTATTATTATACGATTGTAATTTAAACATTTCTGTAATGGCAAATTTCTGGGCGTTAAAAGGATAAACAAAAGAAAATGAATTTTAAAATGAAGATCAAGTTAAGTGACCAACCTAAGTATGATTCCAAATTTTCACAAAGCTTTAGCTACTCAAATGTCTTTCTTTGACCTAAGTCTTTGAAAATGGTTAATAGAATATGACTATAAATTGAGATTTATTTTCCCCTTCATTATTGATATTGGTATTTAATACCCTTAAAAATAATACTTCAGGTTGTTTAGTATTCAGAGTTTTTCTGGATAGATTGATATGATTTATGTTTTCTAACGTGATATATCTAAATCAATCTCAACTTTAGCCTCTTCAACAATTGGAGTTTGGAGATTAGAGAATAAGTGTGTGATAATATTCTGTTTTATTATTCCACTTACATAAGATATCTAGAATAGATAAATTAATACAGACAGAAGGTAGAATTTTTTCCAAGGGCTTGGGGCAGAGGGAGATGGGGCATTATTGTTTAAGTGGTACAGAACTTCTGTTTGGCATAATGACAAAGTCCTGGAAATGAATAATGGTGATAATTACACAACAGTGTGAATATGCCTACTGCCACTGAATTATGCATTTAAAATGGTTAAAATGATAAATTTTATGTTGTGTATCTATACCACAATAAAAATATTTTTAAGTAACAATATCTTTCAAACACAATAATTAATAAGGTAATTATTAATTATAATAACTCAATAATTAGTTTATTAAGAATTTTTCTAACAGGTGTATACTGTAATTCATGTGGTTAAATAAGTGAGAAAACATTAATTCATCCAAGTTCTTTTTTTTACTTTCATTTAGAGGAAAAAACTCAATATGTAATTTAAATAAGTATACATTTTCCAGGATTATTGTGGATTTTTAAAATTATAAGTGTAATACATAAATGCTTGCTCATGATAAACACTGAACAGTGTTTATATTTTAAAAGCATATTGAAAAGTAAAAGCCTCATTCTTACCTTCCTAATTCCACTTTTTTCCCCTTCATATACATAAAATTTTTAACAGAGTAGTATATAGTATAAGTGCTATAACAGTTTGCTTCTAAATTTAGTGACTGACTTTAAGCTGGCATCATAAATGATTAAAACCTTTAATGGACAGTTGCCTTCAGCTTCTCCATGTCTTCCATATGCACTGCCACTCACACTGGAAGCCATTGAAAAAGGAAAGCACCTGGCTCGGTGGAAGCCTCAAAAAGTAGAAAGGTTTACCAAGAACTCTGCTCTGCTTGGTCCAAAAACTCTGTGCTCATCCTCGGCTCTCCTCTCCCTCTCACAGTCCACACCCAGCCCCCCAACAAATACTCTGAGAGCTGGCTCCCTCTCTTACTTTGTCCCTGCACTCTCTGTGCCCAGGTCTTCTTCAAACACGCCGTACGTGCTCCCACTCAAATCTGTTCTCCCTCTGCCCGCTCTGGCTGCCATGCTCCTGCTCTCCCAGGTATCCATGCGGTGTGCTCCCTATTCCAGTTTCTTTGCAAATATTACATTATCCGATACACTCTCTCTGATGACCCTATCCTACCCTATCACCCTCTATCTCCTTAACCTGATTTATCCAACTTTATAGCGCTTATTACCACAGGGCACATTCTATGCATGTTTATTTGTGTTTGTCTTCCTCTAGAATACAAGCTGCACAAGTGCAGGGACTTTGTATATGGCTTACTGCTTGCTATATACCCCAGATGCCTGGGACAATGTCTGACATTCAAAATATATTGAATGATGCCATAACTGATTACTCTGTTCAGGCATATGTGTTTATGTGTTATCATAATAGGATTTATGTTGTAATGTTCACTATTTCTTAGATCAAATCACAGGAAATTAATGACAAACCATTTCTTACCTCCATAAAGGGCAGTTTCGTGTTGTTCAAAGTAACATTTATAAGACTAGGTGACCTTTCAAATGTCTTTTTCTATTTTTCAGATTTACTTCCTCTGTTAGCCATTTAAAGATCTAAGAGTCTTGTCTTTTTAATGGAAGTTTCTGAATAAATCTTGTCAGGTTTATCAGCTAACAGTTTTTGTGGAGCACATACCTGTCCTTGGGTATTGAACTAATTTCTTAAAAGGAAATAGTATCTCAATTTTATTATCCATAGGAAGTAAAATTCTATGGAAAAATGAGAAGAACACATGGAGACTATTTTTCAATATAATGCAGAGGAAATGCTTTATGAGTTAAAAACATTTGACATTTTTAATGTTTAGCATTTCTATGGTAACCAAAAATGTGTTCAATACAAAGTTTCTGGTGTTAAGAATTTTCAACAATTAAAAAAAAATCTTTTTCATACTTCTCCAACTACAACCCCTAAAATATTAGGAAAGAAGAAGGAAAGTTCAACTTGTTTTTTAAAAAACTCAAATATTTGATGGACTATTAATGATAATCATCTTGCCCTGTCTGAACAGTCTTGGTAATGATATAAATCCAAAGAAGCTTCAAAAAAAAACAAAAAAAAAACACCTGCTTCCAAATTAAAAAAAAAAATTGTTTAGCATTTTTTTGCGATCATAGCTAATTTCCTTCGTCACTGTCCACATAAACAACCTTTTGCTGAATAAATTTCCTATAATTTCACTCTTGCTGCAGTGCTGGAGTTGGAAGAACTGGAGTTTTTATTGCTCTGGACCACTTAACACAACACATAAATGACCATGACTTTGTGGATATATATGGACTGGTAGCTGAGCTGAGAAGTGAAAGAATGTGCATGGTACAGAACCTGGTAAGATGTCTAAACCACCTCTAGTACCACCTCTATAATTTCTACCTGGGATGATCTTAGTGGTCTGGTTGGACATGAATTTGAGTTCGTATTTGAATAGCAAACACTCTCTTTTCCTACATTATAAACCTTCTTGGGGGTGGGGGTAGGGTGAGGGTCTTTGGGAGGGCAGCTGATGGAGATGAGAGGAGAACTAAAGCCCACATGCCACAGTCATCCTTCAGCATTATTACTTGACTGCTCATCCTAACTTATCTATACTAATAGGCGTATAGAAAATAATTCAACAAACTGATTTATGTTTAGCATTTAGCAAGTTTGGGGAGCTTAGGAAATGAATCAAATTAATCTCTTTTGTAAACATGCTAAAAGTTGTACTAGGGAAACGGTTTAAAATATTGACTGTATTAAGGTTCTATTAATATGTATTTCACTTGTCCATATTTATCCCTAGTAATGATTATTATAGTACATATTAACAAACTGGGAGTTTTTTGTTTTATTGTTTTAGTTTGGAAGCAAAAATATTTCTACAATATATAGATTTTTCTTCATTAAAAAAATCACATAGTATAATGTTAATGAAACTAAAAAAAACTCTATTGAGTATCTGGTAGGTTCTAAGCACTATACTAGATTCTGTATATGTATTGTCTTATTTAATCCTTCATTGATAAAGTAGATCCAATATAACGAATCAACAGAATATTGGCTCTGCTTTACAAATAAGGAAGCAGATGTTCTAAGTAGTTAAGTGATATTCTAAGGTTATACTACTAATAACTGTCAGAGCCAAAATGTAAACTCAAGTCTGTCTGTGTGTTCCTGTCTGTATCTTTGGATTGGGATTTGAATGCTATACAAACAGAGATTTTCTCACAGCAAATATACAGATCTGCTCTAACAGTATTTTCCAGGGTATGTCCTAGAAAACAAGAATGGCATCACAGTTATTAAAGGTGTGAGAAAACAGGTTCTTTGCTAAAATGAATTCACTAAAGATGTTAAAGTGATTTTCTTAGAATTTCTTAGAGCCTCTATATTAATGTACATTGACAATTACAAATCCAGAACCCTCGTGGGCAACATTTCCCACACCTATACGATTGTGAAATCTTTGAGCCCTTTTTGACTCCACGAACTACAATACCATGTCATGGAATATTAATGTATTTAGGAAGATGTCACTCTAAACCAGAGATACCATATTTCCCCATGTATAAGACGCACCTTAATTTGGGGGCCTGAAATTTGAAAAAAAAAATGTATTACATAACTTCTTTTTCATCAGCAATTCTTCTTGCCTCATGCTGAACCATTTTTGTGGACACAGGAATTCCAACTGCTCTTTGCTCTTCAATCCATATCTTCAATTCCCTCTCTTAACTCTGGCCATTTTGCTGACTTGCCTCTCATGGCCCTTCTGCCATGGTGTTTTCAGTAGAGTTTCTCCTTCCTGTAGCCAGTCTCGGGTTGTTTTCTCAGTTGGAGGAGGACCAAACTTACGTTCAGCAGCATGATTTCCATTCACTTTTGCAAACTGGATCACTGTTAACGTGAATTCATCACAGTATGAAAATCTTTTCTGAGCCATTTCTGGGCAGAACATGGCAAAACGTAACCTACTGTAATATACCTGTAACAAGTGCAAAACAATGAATGCAAAGACAAGCGTGAAAAAGTGGGAAATGCAAGTAAAAAAAAACTACAACCACTGTATAAGACGCACCCAGTTTTTAGACCCCAAATGTTTCAAAAAAGGGTGTGTCTTATACATGGGAAAATACAGTATCTAGACTTTTTGGACTGCACATCTCTTGCAGGAAAAAATGTTTGAGCATTCAACTCCAATATATATGTATTTATTTTTAAGATGTAGATTGTTCAATTATGTAAATTGTTAAACATATACATAATAAGAAATTGAAAAAACATAAGATATCAGATAAGCCAAACTTTGAAAATCTAGCTAATTGTGATGGCTTCATGTTATCATTAGGTATTTTTAAAAGATAAAATATATACTTAGCACAGGATGATTCTCTTTCGGCAGTGATTTTAAATACATATTTTAAATTATTTTTTATTTTTAAAAAGTAATCTGGCTTACTACAAGATTATTCTAGGAGTACAAAGAATGCCAACCCTGCTATTATCTTGACATCATTTGGGCTTGCATGATAAATATCTTCAAAGAGTAATCTCTTTGTAGGAATCTTTTTCAGCCACATCAATTCTATGATGGTTAGATAAAACTAGGTATTGTAAATACGCGTTCCTTTGCATGCCGAAAGGGAACAAATGAATGAAGTATTACTCTTCCCTCACGATACTTCAAAAATAGAAGATGACTTGTGATGAGGGTTGGCTTCAAGGGTGTGCAACCTGTGCAGTCTCCCAGCTCCAAAGGGCCTTGCACTTGTTTTCTGCCACTGTTTGAATATCTTTAATAATTTTTGAAGAGAAGAACTCACATTTTCATTTTTGCAGTGGGCCCCACAAATTATCTAGCTGATTGTTATCCAGGGGTCTGATAAGGGCTCCAATATCAAGCTAACTATTAACCATTATTAAAACTCAAATTTTTTTCTTATTTTTAATTAACAATTAAAGATAGATAGAAAGCTGAAAGTTTCCCCCATGTGCTTGGGTGTACACTGTGCACTGGTGATCGTTGCTCTTGACATTGATCGAGATTGGTTGTCTCTCTTGGAGAGGACAGAGGGTAGGGCTGATTGAGATATTGTTTCCCTAGAGTCTAGAGTTAATCTTCAAATAATAAAAGTTGAAAACGTTTTGGCAACTTTGTGGAACTGAACTATGTCCAGAGTGTGTTCAAGAATGCCTGCTAATAATTTCACACAATTTAGTACTCAATATATGCTATAAACTTCATGTATTATACTTGTTTCGTCAGCTAGAGAAAAATGTTGCAGTTGGGCAGGAAAGAGCTTGAATTTTGAAGTCGGAGAACTGAGTTCAGAATCCAGCCCTGCTAATGGCTGGCTCTGTGACTTTGATTAATTAACCTCTCTGAGCTAATTCCCTTTTTGAAAACAGCCGTGTTATACTTTTCACAAGCTTGTTGTCAGTGTTAAATAAGAGAAAGTATCTCAAGTACCAAGTATGCAGTAAACGCCCAGCGTGCAGTGAATGTCTGGGGAGGTTCTGGCTGGGTTCACTCCTTGGTGAAAAGCTGGAACTTCAAAGCTCTCTTTTACCTGACTTCATTCCCAGGAGTTTTGGTCTTTATTTTCTTTTCCCTGTGATGAAAAAATAAAAAATGACCACCTTAGCTCCCATCTTTACAAACCAGCATTGTTTTGCACAAGAATGGTTTCTTACTTTGTTCTATTGTACTTGGGAGTGACTCAGTTTCTATGAAGAATGCCCATGTCTCAGCACATATTACAGTAGCCATGGGCAGGGATGGGGAGGTGGGAACCTCAGCAAAATATCGCCACGAAAAGGCATCAGAGGGGCAATGGCCCAGACCCAGGAGAGAGCTTTATCTTTCACTGTCTACCAAAAGCAGTTCATAGTAGACCCAAAGGTTTGAAAGGACTTTCTGAGGGAATACTCTGCAATGATATAATATCCTGAGATACTGCTGGTGCCTCAAATAACAGTTAATCTGGATGAGCCTCTTTCCTGCTCTAGCCCTCCTTGGAGTTTACTGATGTGAATTCCTCAGATAAAAGGAAAAAAATTAACCAATATATTTTGGGTGCCTAGTTTTTTTGTCAGGCACTTTACATATGTTAAGTCCTCTAAATCTTACCATGTAAATTTTAAGGTCCCTCCCAACCCCCATGAGGAAAGTGAACATCAAAAAGTTTACTTCTTCAGGTAACATAAGTATCTAGGGAAGAAACTGAATAGCAGCCTTCACTGTCTCTTTGTCAATAGCACACTATGGCAGAGGGATCTTGGGAAATGTAGTACATCCCCATGGAGCTCAGCCGACCCTGCCAGAAGTTTCCACCCATCATTCTTCCTGGCAGAAAAGATGAGATGGAGACAGTCAGAAGCTTCACATACCAAATGTGACTTCAAATTCAAATGCGATTTTTAAAGAAATACCAGAACTCATAAATCTAAACGATTGTTGTTTTCAAAAATTTATATTGTATCAATGTATTTCTGCTGATAGTGGTAGTCCTTGTGTGATGTATGCTTGAAAATACTGTTGGAATTACCTTGAGAAGTGATTTACTAGCAATTTCCATAGAATTTTCATTACTTCACAGCAACACTTCATATCTTTCCAAAATTGAATTATGTAACTTGATCATCCACCTCACTTACAAAGCTTGATCCCTAATGACTGCTGGATGTTCTCCAAATGAAATCTGTCCTAAATGGTAAAGATTGGCTAGCTGTGAGAATTAAATGAGACGAAGGCAACAAACATTTATCATGTAACTAGACACGCCAGGCACTACTACAGGCAATGGGAATTCAGCAGTGAATACGAGAATCCTGTCCTCATAGGACTAACATTCCAGTGATGAGATGTTTGTGGAAACATTTTGTAGTCCTAAAGATATTCCTAATAATGACCAACAATTTCTGAAGATAATTTCAATAAGGGGTTCCAAAAAGGTTTTGTGGTATAGTAGCAATAGAGACAACTATGGCCTCTTCAGGTGATCACTTTAGAGGACATGCTATTTAAATCAATTGCCCCTTCATATATTTATAGATCTTAAAAATTCAGATATATTCCTTAAATGTCAGGCTTGTTTCCTATGTAAAGGTGAGGATGATTTTCTATATGATTAACTACCTTTGGGAAAAATCCAGATTCAGAAATGCTAACAGGTTACTGAATTGTATTGAATAAACTTAAAGAACCCAGGTGGTACTGAATTTAGCCCAAACATTCAGATGAAATGTTAAGAGTTCTTGTCCAGCACCTGGATGTTTGGACATTTCAATGGTCAACTGCCTTGTATTTACAAATAGAGACTAGCTACTTTAGATACATTAAGCAGGCCAAATGTCAGGTGATTAACAGAATTATTAAACATATTTTAAATGTGCTGATGGTATGCAGATATGCTCATTCACAGATTTTGAAAGTAAATTTAGCATCTGCATTCTAACAAGAAAACTATTTAAAAGAAAACCTACTCAATTAGACCTATCAGGAAAAAGGAAACTTCTAAAATGTAAATAATCTAATTTGCCCCTTTTTTTTATAATCATGGCAAGAAAGAACATATTAACACTTGGTGTTTAATGACAAGTATAGTTTTTTAAATACTTGAAGCTATAAGAAGCCACAGAAATTTAGAGAACCTTATGTGTGAGATGGTAGAAAATCACTTACATTACACGGTAAATTCTGTGCCTCTAACTTAGCTATTTAATATTTGTTGAATTCAATATTACTTTTCACTCTAACATTATAGCTCCCCTTATTAGAAAAATCTCCATCTCATCCATTTACTTAACCACTCTTTCTTTTATGCCTAGGCACAGTATATCTTTTTACACCAGTGTATACTGGATCTCTTATCAAGTAAAGGAAGTAATCAGCCCATCTGTTTTGTTAACTATTCAGCACTTCAGAAGATGGACTCCTTGGATGCCATGGAAGGTAAATACAGGCTATGTGTACCCAATTTACTAGTTTACCAGCTATAGCAGGATTATTAATTTAATAATATCCATGTGTTGAAAACGTTTTAGAAGCTTACTTAGTGCATTTATCAATTTTTTTTCATTTCTAATCCAATTAGGATAATAACCTTTCCATCTGCACTATTTTTTTGCATGAAACATTCAAATCTTTTGAACTATTAACTTCAATTCTCACTGGTGACATGTTACTTTATGTTATAGGTGATGTTGAGCTTGAATGGGAAGAAACCACCATGTAAATATTCAGACCAAAGATTACAACTGGAAGATTTTTTCAAATCCCAGGGGCCAAAATTAACCCCTCATTCTTCTGAATTGAAATGTACAACCTTAGAAAAATCTCTATGGTTCCCTTACCGTGCCTTATACTAAAAGCATGGACATTTTATGAATAGTTCCGATAAATAGCTAATTCAGGATAGTTATTTGTTTTGTACAGAATAAACATTATGCATCTAAAACATTTAAGGAGAAATATCCCAGAGATTTTTGATATCTTCCGTATTTGGGGAATAAGCCAAATATAAAATTATTCTTACATCAGCATTCATGTTTCAATGTGCATTTTCCCTATGTATTGAATTAATCTTGAACAGAAGTTGCAAATGTTGATTCAGTAGTGTTATTTTGGCCTCGAGGGTGTTGACGTTTCTTGTGGATAACTTCCAGGACTGTCATAATGATCTGCACTTCCATGTACGCCCCTGTGTTTTGAATCCTCTGTTTTATGAGTGCTGAGATATCATCTCGTGATCTCGAACAGCTGAACAGTAACCCCTGACACTGCAGGGATTACTTAGCCTTTATACAACACACAGTAGCTCTTCGGGGACACTTAGGGCTATTTAAATTGCATTGTGATCTTTAGTTTGAAAAAAAAAACAACATAAAGAAACATTAAGCAGTGCAATTGCTCACATGAAGCAATAGAGTGCTTTTCTAGCCTGTCTACGTTTGGGCGTTTGTACATTTTCAGGCACAAGCTGTACCACTGTATTATATAGTTAAATACATAGTTAAATGTATCAAAGTATTTGTCCATTAGATATATATCCCCACTAATATTAACAATTTCTTCAGCAGAAATGTATAAAAAAAACAATAATAAAAATATGTCATGTGTTTCAAGCTTGTAAACTAATGATGTGCTACTGTGGTGCCAACAGATACATCCTAATAGATTACAAAAAAAATGGTCTTTATTTCATTTCTCAAGGTTGGTTATTGGGGAATATATTTGGTAATCATGAAACAAAGAAATTAACCAGGTTATAGCAAATTAGCGATTTTTTTACAAAGAAAATATTTCAACCTCCTTTTTGTTAGTGACAATGTACTAAGTAAGTTTTGAACTATGTGGTATAATTTTGTCACATATTTCAATTAAGACTCATAAAACAAAATAATATTAATTATTCTATTTCTTCTATGGTAAGAATTATACCTTAAATGCATATTTCTGCTGGAATATAAATATAGAAAATGTGATGGCCAATAAAATTGAATTTTAAGCAATTGAGTTACTTTGCAGCATGATTTCAGAGGTCTCTAATATAAATTTGATTTTGTACCACATATTAAGATACAATTGATAATTATAATATAATATAATGAAGTATATTATATATGTACAATATAATAATATGGTATAAATAATTAAGGTATAATCATTTTTAGAGTATCCATAGATAGTAATTTTAAAATCAAATTTATTATCCAAGAAATTAAATCCTTTAGTCTTGCAAGCAGTCCTGCGTCCAAGGAAGTATAAATAAATATAATCCACTACTATTCCAATCAAGTTTACTCTATAGAAAGTTACAGAAAACAGTAAGATATGATGAGAATTCTAAAAGATTTGAGTTGGAGTCGGAAGTTCTTGTTTGCTTCATGTGTCAGTTGGTGAAAATGTGTGGCAAGCTAGTACTTAATGAATGTGGCGTTTTATATTCATGGAAGATAGAATACCTGTGAAAAGTATTGGTGAGGTTACTTTTTAATATATTAAATGACAAGAAATGAATAGTTCAACCTACGGGCCAGTCCATTTTCAAAATATCTTTATAAAACAGAAGTGTACAACAGAGTATCAGGATTGACCCATATGTATACACATATGTGCGTATAAAACAGTTTTAATATAAAGTCTCTTCTAAAACAGTGCTTATCAAACTTTAATGTGCATACAAATCACCTGGGAATTCTGTTAAAAACAGCGGATTCTGCTTCAGTAGGTCTAGGGAAGGACCTGAGATCCTTCATTTCTATATAGTAAATACTAAAGTTATAATATTGCGGCCTGATCTCAGGCCAGATATTAAATCACAAATTTATAAAAGACATTAGGATTAGAATAATTTCTTGTCCATTTGAAATTATTTGACACATGTTTTAAAAGATCTGGCATCATTATCAGAAAAAAAAATGATATCAGAGCACCTGTTAAATGTGTATAGCACACTAGCTATCTCACAAAACTGTAACTGAAATTGAACTGAAACTCATATATTAACCATAGCTACATTTCCTCTTAATTATGCTGTGAAAGGGCTAGTGTATATTAGTGTATACACTAATAATAGTATATAGTCTGAGTTCTATAGGTGGCTACTAAGTGCAAATTAAAATAATGAGGAACATCTGTAACATTTTTAGATCAGGTTTGTCAAAATACATTGAAGCACACGTACAATAAATGAGCAACATGTGTTTCCTCTGAACCAAATGAAACTGGAGCCTCTCAGAATGGTTTGCCAGAGAGGAAAGCAGCTGTGGGTATCACCTCTACTTTCATCCAGCTTTCAAATGCATAATTTTCTTTCAGTTCGTAGGTGAAATGTATAATAAGCCTTTTGAAAAAAAAGCTGATTAAACCTTGCTCTCTTTATAAAGGAGATGGCGATTCACTCTCTGTATCTGGCACCAAACACTACATTTTTTTAAATGGAATTTAAGTTCAGCAAAGTATTTAATATCAGTCCATGACATTGATGTGGTAAGTTCATTTTCATGGGCCAGCTTTTAAAATAACTCAAAGTGAAATTTTTGATGAAGTCTAGAATACAAAATGATCAGAAATTCTCAACTGAATGATATTAAAAGCAAACATTAGAAAAAAAAGTTTAGAAAGCATAGTCTTAGCAAAACAGCTTGCCTTCTTAAGATAAGTAATATTTTGTGGTAAATGACTTCATAAATATGCATAGAGCTTCTATGCAGAATCAGGGCTCCTGTGCCCACCAGTTCATGAAGATGTTCTCACGAAGAGATTAGATCACATTTATGAAAGCGTTTCAAAACCTTCGAAGAAATCCACAAGGTTAAGGTAACCTTTTACCCAGACTGGTCATTGTGTAATATTTATCAGTAAGATGATGTATCCCATTTTAGGACTGTATTGTACTTTGTAATATTTAGTGCTATATTTGTATGTCTGTTTCACATCTATGGATTGAAGAGAAAATTGTGGCAGTTACTTTGACTTCTGCTAAATGAGACCGTTGCTACTTTTTTATGAATAATTAATAGCATTCTCAAGGAATTTCTGGAGTAACATGAGTAGACAGACATGTACACAAATAATATAAAATGTGGTTTAGAAGACAAGTCAAGAAAATTTTTATTTCAGGCTTTTCAACATGACATTCTGAATCAGTGTCTGCAACACAGTCATTTGAAAATAGAACCGTAACTTAGTAGAAGGTAACAAAAGGCATTATTCCTTCCTGTTAACAAGAATATGTGTATGTTTCTAAAGTCACAAACTTAAATTATTTTAGTTTTCATTCAAAGTATTCTTGGATTGGGAAGTCATTTTAGTAAATTATTAACTTTTTAGAATACTTTTCAATTCATCATCTTGATTAATCCTTAGAAAAGCCTTCAAAATCTGTAGGGTTCCATATCACAGAAAAGTACAATGAAAGCTTAATTGCTGTGCTCAACACGCTGTTTAGTAAGGATGGGAGCTGCATATTATAATTAACTTACTGAAAGTCAATGATAAAGATAAAA